AGGCTGCAACAGTTACTCCAGGACGGAGTGGTCCACCGATGCAACCCTGATGACACGGATGAGATGCTCTGGACAAAGTACAGAGAGGGCCAAAAGAAGGAGTACCGAGAGTATCGACGTAGGGAGCGACGCTGCGGACGATGGCCAAGTGAGCGCCACAAGTGAGCGGAAGCTTTGAGCACAAAAGGGAAGCTTTCCCTGTAGCCTGTTTCTGAAGCCTTGTCCAGATTTTTCTGGGGAAACGCCCCAACACCACAAACTGTTGAGCGCGTGCATGCTGTAATGAGTTTCCAGCGAGGTGACCCTTTAGCCGCGACGCTCAGCCTTGTAGTTTGTTGTTGTCTTTGCGAGTCTTGCTTCCAAAAGGGGTACCCTCGAGCCGCCGCCTACTCAGTGTGACGTGATACTATTTGCCATGCTGTTTCCTTACGAGCGACTCTCTCAGCTCTCTCCAAAGCACAATGTGCTCTTGTAGCACCAATCCACGACGGGCCGCAGAGCCAACCTAGAAAACCCTACCGTGCCTCCGCTCCGAGGCGTAATTCGAATCGTGCTCGACAAGTCTTTTGCTGACCGGGGGATTTCCATGCCTCGTATGCTCTCGTCGTCTTCGCAATATCCCGGGGACCCCTGTCGGCTACCTTTCCATTCCACTTGAAGCCATTGAACATTTGTGTAGTTAGGGTCCTCCTTGTCAGTTATCCAGTTGTTTGCGCATCTTGCTTTCTCATTCCTGATATTATTGCTTCGGCTTCTCGGAGTGCAGTAGCTGAGTGCTGAGCTCGGTCCATTTTAAAGGAATGCCATAGAATCTCCTCCGCAACAGTCGGGGGCGCACATGCGCGCGGTGCAGGGGGTAAAACCCCTACACCATAGCCCTGGCGAAAGAGAGAGAGAGAGAGAGAGAGAGAGAGAGAGAGAGAGAGAGAGAGAGAGAGAGAGAGATTTTGGCTCAAGGTGCCTTCATCGACGACTCCTTCATCGAGCTCTTCGAGCAACTCAAGCGGGTGCGGTGGGGGGAAAGACTCTGACTGTGCCCCAGAGTCTGGACCCTCCCGTGCTTGCGAACGTAACGCTAGTTTCCGGAGGGGCTAGCCGCCATAAAGAAGACGGGTGAGTTTGTACACTCTACAGCCAAGAGGGGGACCGAGTGACCGCAAGATCTTCAGCGTGCACGTGCCTGCGGGGGAAGTGAAAGAGTCTTTCCTGAGCATCGCCCCAAAACCGCCCCTGACGCCGTTGCCTGAGAACCTCTGCACTGGCCGGGGGACACCTTCACCTGCACGATCGTGACTGTGGCCAGACGGGGGAGGTCGCAAAGTGTGCCTACATCGTGCTCTACGACATGAAGCCGGTGGGGGAAAACTATGTGTGCAGGATTTGCAGAGTGGGAAAAGGGAAGTGTTTGCCCGGAATGAGGAAAAGCCATGTACGACAGGACGTAAGGTGCCGTCTGCATGGACTGACGGGGGTACACCCTCCTCCTCCACCATCGGGGGAACGGGTGGCCAGAACGACCGAGAACCTCGTGAAGATACAGTGTGATGGTATCCCAAAGGGGGATATACGCTCTTGGCACGAGCTTATTGAAAAACACATCCCGGTTGAGACCACTTGGCTGCAGCGACCCTTGCTGCGATTGCACTCTGACAACGGGGGAGAGTCCCGCTACTTCGACTGCGCCCTGCTCCGGGAATATACGGACGCCGAGGAGAACCAGGTGACCCGGGAACTGCAGGAAGCACGAGACATGGAACGGCTCCGAATGCGTGCAAAAACACTCTTGGCTCAGTATCTGGAGCGGGGGAAAAACCCCAGAAAACTCATCATGAACCTCGCGTACGACCCGTACAGTGCCGACGTGCTATGGACAGAAGCCAACGAGCGCTGGGGGAATGTGATGCTGGACAGCCTGACGGCAACAACCCAAGTTCAGGAGGTGCCGAAGCGGGGGATGTGGAGGCAGTAACGCCACCCCTGCCACCGACCACGGGGGAAACCCTCGACGTGCCCTCAGGTGCCAGTGCGCCAGTGACTCCAGAATGGCCACAGGAACGTACAGCTCGTGTCTGGGGGGGAATGGCAGCAGACCCACAAGTATATCAAGGGCGCTGGAAACCCGCCTGGAAAATCTTGGCTAAGCTCAAGTGGCGCTCGGAAAGACGACAGCGCCGACAGCACGTGGCCCGAGCACATGGGCGAGAACGTGCGAGGTGAGAGCCGTGACTGAGGTAGAAAATTCGTGAAAGCGGGGGGGGGCTTCAGGTCCGTACTTCAGGGGGTGTTTTTTACTTCGGCTGGTTCGGTTAAGCCCCTCCCCCACTCCCAGTTTTTCGCATGGTTCCTACTCCTTGTCGGGGGAGTTGCATTCGCTCAACCCATAGGTACCTTTTCAATGACAGCTCCGGCTGTCTTGCGCTCCGAACTTTTTCTAAACTTTGAGACCCCCCCGGGGGAACACTCTCCGAGAACTTGTATCATAGCCTTCGGGCCTTTACTCCGTCATCGTTAACCTCGCTCAAATGCATGTGGGGTCAGTTTGCAGAGATAGCTAAATTCGTCCGACAACAAACTTTTGCATATCTCTTGAACTGTCACCTGACACCCATGGTCAAACCATGCTGAGACCTCCGGGGAACTTGCAACACACATGTTATTGCCTTTAGGTCCGCTGTAAGTGCTGTTCTCATTACTTTACATGGAAACCGGAGGTCCACGAAAGATGCCATGTTTATTCCTTGAGTGCACTAGCGGGGGAAGCTACTTTCTACTGACTGTACCTTTGCTTTCCTCCGCATAACTTTGGAAACATGAAGGAAGGGGGGGAATCAACTTTCTGTTTCGTCTTTCCGCTACAAGCCACCCCTCCTTCATGTACCGTCTAGCTGCCGCAGTGAGAGCGTACACTTGTCTGGTCCGGTATCGAATACTTCATGGCTTTAGCCTTATGACAAGTTACGCTCGTTCCTCACCCCCCTTACCGTTCCATATGCGAACGGGTGGGCTTTGATGCCCGGGGGCGCTGACCCGCCTCCATGCCCGGAGAGAGAGAGAGAGAGAGAGAGAGAGAGAGAGAGAGAGAGAGAGAGAGAGAGAGAGAGAGAGAGCAGAGCGCAGAGAGCAGAGAGCAGAGAGCAGAGAGCAGAGAGCAGAGAGCAGGGAGAGAGAGAGCAGAGAGCAGAGAGAGAGACAGAGAGGCAGAGAGGGCAGAGAGAGCAGAGAGAGAGAGAGAGAGAGAGAGAGAGAAGAGAGAGAGAGAGAGAGAGAGAGAGAGAGAGAGAGAGAGAGAGAAGAGAGCGCGAGAGAGAGAGAGAGAGAGAGAAGAGAGCGCGAGAGAGAGAGAGAGAGAGAGAGAGGGAGGGGCCTTGAGGACGAACATCGCGAACCTTTGTGGGGGTAGGCCTTCGGGCCAGGGTCTGTCGGGGACCCACACCCCTTCTTCGCGTAAGCGGTGAGCTCTGCGTAAGCGGTGAGCTCTGGCATGCTGTGAGGTTCTGTGCAAGCGACTTGTTACCGCAGGGCGGGCTGAAGCTTCCGAGCCAAGTGGAAAGGAGTAGCTGTGCGAGGCATTAGTGCCTGCGTGATTTCTTTGGCATTGTGCTATCTTCATGGTAGCGGAGCCCTGGTTCCAGAAAGGGGCGCCCGCGTGTGAGAAAGGACAGCCGAGATCTTTCGCATGAATCAGTATGTGGATGCTGGAGGGAGACCCAGGGACCTTCCAAACCTGGCATGCACGCGGTCCAATTCCATCGACGCAACATTGCCGGCATCATGCAAGCCTTTCTTGCCATCACTCAAACCATAGCTCGAAGCGACACTGGACTGCCACTTTGTGTCAGCGCCATCCCAACGCAGCACAAGCTCACGCAGGTCACTGTAAGTGCCAGTAAGTGCTGCGTCAGACATGATCACATTTGCATGCTGGCGTAACTGTCCTTTGAGCTGGCCTGCCAAGGGTACGAGAAGACACTAATGGACACAGAAAGGCGGGGCGCTGCTGCAAGGGTTTGGTCTCGACTTACCGGGTTACGGGGCCGGCGAAGTCAGTGGTGAAGCACCTAGCCCCGGACGACGATAGCAACAATGGGCTCTCGAAGCTGCTGGCTGTGCTGAGGAATTCTCCCCTGCAGACCTTGCCGATTCCCGACTCCTTTAGCAAGCTGGAGCGTTGGCATCTTCTGCGTCGCAAAGAGAATGAGGGCCCGTGTGACAATGGTGCTTTCTCAAGATCGCCGGGCTTCCGGTTCGACCCCTGCCTCGGCTGAGGAGGATGCTGTTCCTGGAGACGAGCCTCCCCGCCAGGAGGAAGTCCTTCGCAGATGAGCTTCGTGGCTTCCGGCTGGTGAGGGCGTCTGGCTTGACAAATGATCGGAGAACCCAGATCTTGACTTTGACCACCAACGAGGTGTCCTTCGAGAAGGTCCGCCAGGCCCTCCGCGCTCTTTTGATGATGAAGGGGGACCTGTGGGCCGTGCTGGCAGGAAGAAGGGCATTTGGTTTGCCGAGGAATATGACGAGGAGTCCTTCTGGCAAGCTGGGCCCGACGATGGCTGGCAATGGGACGAATGGGCCTGGGATGATGAATCCGCCTACTGGGGCGATTGGGGCTGGGAGGCTGGCTGGCCTCAAGAAGCTGCTGAGATGGATGAGGAGCCTGACACCAATGACGCGCCGACCAGGGCAACGATGACACTGAGGAGGCCCTGGTCGCGCAAGAGCAGGAAGCATCAGCGGTCAAGACTCTTCAAGAAGCCCGAAAGGCCATTCATTCAGCGTGTCCGGGCTGCCCGTGGATACTATCCATTGGGCGGAAAGAAGGGCATGGCCTCCAGCTCGAAGGGCAAATCTTCCAAGGGCGCCGGCAGGGCAAGATGAAGTGTGGCGGCAAACCGAGCGCAAAAGGAGGTTGCTTTATCTGTGGACGGTTTGGGCATAGCTTCCGTGAGTGCCCAGGCCGCTTTAGCAAAGGGACCGGTAAGTCTGGACAGAAAGGCGCCGCCATGTGGGCCGAGCCGGTCTACCATATGTACATGATGAGTGCCGCCGTCGCCCCCGATAGTGCGATTCCCGACACCCTGGAGAAGCAGCTCGAGCAGAACTCCCAGGGCCTTCCGGAGAAGTCGATCCCGAAGCACTTCAATTACCCGGACCTGTCTTTTGAGTCCGAAAGTGTGGCTTCCGAAGAGGCCACGGTCATGAGTCTTGAGACGGCATTGGTGGCGTCCGTGAATGGCGCTCGCGGCTTTGTCCTGGACACCGGGGCCACGGAGAATGCCGTTGGGGTGAAGACCTTGGAGCAGATCCTCATGAAGGCCAAGATCAAGCATACTGTTTCCATAGATGAGCGACCAGTGTTCAAGTTTGGCGACGGGTTGAGCCTTCGTGCTTCTTTGGGAGATGTACACTTTTACTTTTACACCCTAGATGGCGACCACCGGCCGCAGACCCACAATGCCGAGAACACCCCAGCACTTCTTGGAGGCAAGTTTCTTCGGGAAGCCCGGGCAACCATTTCTTGTGATCTTTTGTGCTTGTGGTTTGCTGATAGCCGCTCGACCCTATGGGCCACCGAACTTCTCCAGACTCAGTCCGGTCACTTGATGATTCCTGTTTCCGGGCAACTTCTTGACATGAACGCCCTTCGGCTGAAGGCTGAGAGGGAGCATGGCGTCCGACTTCCATTCGCGACACCATGCCTTTTGGATCTTCTGTTGACGCCCGGAGCCCTTGAGGAGCTCAAGCGTGCACAGTCCGATGGGAGGAAAAGTTCAGAGAATGAGGTCCAGTGTGAGCATGGAGAGCAGAACCACACACGAACTGTTCAGGCAAGCACCTCTTCTCAGAGTCTTTTCGCAGTTTTCGGTGAGCGTCAAGGAGTTGATCCATCACATGTGTGTGCCGTGCCTCCGCTCTCTCAGCGACTTCGTGACCTTAGCGCCCGCCTCTCCTTGTTGCGACTCCGTTGTGCACATGGCCCTTGCTAGGGCAAGCACAAGAAGGGCGGCCTTCGTCAGAATCAGTTCGCAGTTCGCTTCTTGGATGGCATGCTGCCGCTGCGGACTTCGGCTGCATGACGAGCCGAAGATGAGCCACGGCAAGGACCGCACGGCGGGAGCCACGGTGGAGGCTGTGAAGGAAGCGATTGACGAATTGGCCGAGGAGTTCCCCGATGGCGCGGTGACCGAGAAGATGTGTGCAGGCAAGATTCGGGAGGTGCAGGGCCGTCGCATGGTTCGCAACGAGAAGGTGGTCCTGCACACGTTCATGGAGAAGAAGGCCGTCGGTGTGGAGCCCAGGGGTGCAACAGTGACGCGAGCGGCCGGTCAGGGGAACAGTGCCGAGGCCGAAGCAGAGGTCCCGACCGACAGGGTATCCCGAGTATCCTTCAACATGCGATGCCCGTCGTCTCGGAGCTGTACCGGCATCCTCCGAGAAGGCCCCCGCGATCAAGACGAAGAAGGACCCGAGCCTCGAGGGACCAGGAGAACAAGGTGGCGGCGCTGAAGGCAAAGCTGGCGGCCGCGATGGGCGGCGATTTCGAGGACTCGGACCTGGAGCACTCCGAAAAGATGAGCACTGCGAGCTGGAAGGAGACAAAGTGATTGATGACGAGGTCGGTGTGGAGCCGGGGGGCGTGGAGCGCAACCTGGATGAGGACCACACGGCGACAGCCACACCGACAGCAGGCCTTGCAGAGAGGAGCCGTGGTTTCACGGGTGCCACTCGGCGCCAACTTCACGTGGCTGGGGCGCCGGCGTACTTTGCCTCCCTGCTGTGCACTACGACTGTACTGTTGAATTTGTTTGAGAAAGCGAGCCTTATGGAAGTTAACGGTGCGAACTCTGAGGGCAATTTTGGCTCTATGGCCGGTGACCTGGGGATCACCTATGACGGCTACTTCCAGAAGTCTGGTTGGATGGTCGAGAAAAAGAATGTGTCGTCCGAGATTGTGTCCCGGGTCGTGTCGGTGATGCCGGAGATGCTGTGGATTTCTCCGGCAGTGCGTGGGGAAACACCTTATGGAACCATGGAGGCCCCAGGCGTGAAGCGCAACCGGCAGCGGGCTCAGCGACGATCGTTGGAAGTGGCGGCCGAACTTTCCAAAGGAGCGTGTCAACAGATCCGAGAGGGACGGCACGTGGCATGGGAGGTGCCGCTGGATCTCCGATATTGGAAAGAATGTCGTGCTGAGCAAGCGTTGCATGAGGTGGGACGGCCTCTACATTGCTCTACATCACATCATTGTGGATGGTTGCTTCTACAAGAAAGCCGAGGGGGCACATGGCAAGCGATGGCGGGTCCTGACAACGAGCCACCATCTGGCGGCCTCCCTTCGTCGGTGTCGGTGCCCACGTTTTTCATGGCATTCAGTGGGAACTCCAGGGCACGAGCCAGGACACGGCGAAGCAGGTTGGGGACTATCTCCTAGAGTCTTCCTCGGGTGTCTTTCCCTCCATTGAGAACTCCACTGAGGGCCCCAACGGCGACCAGGACGGCCACATCCTCGCAGTGTCCACTGGGCGGTTGCCAACAGCAGCACCCACTGGAGCGAAGCTGAAGCAGATCAAGGACAGCATGCTCCGACTTCACCGGGCAGCTGGTCATACTTCCTTTGAGAACCTCGCATGACTTCTTCAAAGATGGGGCTGTCCAGAATGGGCCGTTGAGCTGGCTCAGGGCCTCACCTGTGATGGCTGTTCCGAGGTTCGACGGCAGGCTGGGCCACCTGCGGCATCCGCCGAGCCTCCGCCGAGCCTGTGGGAGGTGCTCGGAATGGATGTGTTTGAAGTTGAGTACAAGAAGGACGGTGCAAACTTCAAGGCGAAGGTGCTGTTGATGATTAGCCGCGCAAGCCGGTTCACCATGACCCATGTTCTGAAGGAGTTCGCTGCGGAACAATCGTGGGAACCAAGCGCTATGGATGTCAAGCGAGCGGTGGTGAGAACGTGGCTGGGCTCCAATCCTGGTCCACGCTGGATCATTACCGATGCTGCACCTTCCTTTACTAGTCGAGAAATGCTTGACTTCGCTTCGCGCAGCGGCTTGGGTCTCTTGACGGCGCCGGCGGAAGCACACTACATCATGGGCATCGAGGAGCGCGCGATCCAGGTGATCAAACGAGCCATTGAGAAACTCGAGAAGGAGGACCTGGAATTGGGCATTGAATCCCCGCGCTCTCTGGCGTGCCATGGCCACAACTCCTTCATCCATGCGACAACGGGATACAGTCCGTTCCAATGGGCTCGTGGATGGCAGCGAGAACACTCATTGCCGATCGGTCTGGATCCGAGGAAAGAAGCTGTCCAAGCTCTCCAACAGCGTGAGCCACTGCGCCACTGGTGACCTTTGCATGCTTTGGCGAACTCGTGTGAACAGGCAGCGTGGAGGGTGGACCGGGCCACTTCGTGTGCTACTCCAGGAGTCTACTACGCTTTGGCTAGCTACCGGCGCCACCTTAGTGAGAGAGAAGCTGATAACCTCGACTCAAGGAACGACTGTGTACCAACAGGCGGTTGGGCTTGACATTCTCCTTCGGGGTTATCGTGGCAAGCACTTCCTTGATGCCTCTGAGTCACCGGGTCCTGATCCTGAAGAGGACCTGTCACCTGCCCAACCAGTTGTTCAACCTCCGGCGCCCAGAGCTCAAGGGGACGCGTGGGTAGTCCTCTGGCATCGGAATCGCAGGCTTTCTCTCTTTGTCCCCACAAAGGACTGTCCTGTCCCCGAAGAGAGCTTGACAGGGATCCGGCGGACCGTCGGGGAGCTCAGGTGATCACCGACAATTATCGCACCGAGGCCCGACCGGGCCCTGATGGAGAGGTGTGCCGTAACAAAGGCACCACAAGGAGAAGTGCGTGCACGTCAAGTACAACAAGGTTCACAGCCGCGCAGTCAGTCTGTTGTCTTGGACCCAGGGCAATCGTCAAGTTCAGGAGGTGTCACTGGGGTCCGTCGAGTTTTAGAACAGTCGTCGACCGCAGCACCGGGGCCACCTGTCAAGAAAGAGAGGTTGCAAGAGTCTCTGGGTCAACCAATGAGTGGGACTTCTGAATACGTTGAGGCTCCCGTTCCGGTGCCTCAAGTAGAACAAGAACCTGCTGTCACAGAGCAGGAAGAGGAACCTGAATGAACCACCCGTGCCTGCTCCTTTGACTTCTTCTCCCTCTGCAACTGTTGAGCCTCTAGCTGTGGGGAACCTACCTGCGCAACCGGAGTTCTTGGAGGAAGAGCACGCCAGTGCGGCGCCCTACTCTTCCTCCAAGGAAGGAAGCAGTGACGAGGAGCTCCTTCCCAACGGGGCCCAGCAGGCCCAGTTTGTCAATGAGGCCTCTGCTGTGTTTGCCTGCGAGATCCAGGTGAATGACCGCGACCTGCGGCGTCTTCTCAAGAAGCCGAGGAAGGCAGCCGTCTGGCTGTCGCAGAAAATGATGGAGAAGAGCAAGGAGGTGGACTGGCGGAAGTTAACCGAGGCCGAGAAGCGAGAATATGATGAGTCGAGGCTCAAGCTGTGGAGGTGTCAAACGTGGTGCGTGAGCGGGCCGTGCGTGCCCTAACGTCCCGCTGTGAGGTTCTGTGCAAGCGACTTGTTACCGCAGGGCGGGGTGAAGCTTCCGAGCCAAGTGGAAAAGAGTAGCCGTGCGAGGCATTAGTGCCTGCGTGCATTCTTTGGCATTGTGCTACCTTCACTTCGCAAGCAAGCAAGAGAGAGAGAGAGAGAGCGAGAGAGAGAGAGAGAGAGACAGTGATATGAGAGTGATATAATGCTAAATATGTCTTTTGGGTTTTGCAAGCTAATTGCTCGACAATTTGTTTTGTGTTCCGACGGAATAAGTACATTTTCGGGCCTGTCATAGGGCTTTGAGAGTTGTGTTCCTAATGTTTATTGCTTGCTCGTGAGATGTCGAATCTTGGATGTATTATAAAGTATAACTCGCATCAAAATCTAAGTTGGATTCTTCCATTGTTTGATTTAGAAGATTGGTATTCATCGGAATGATTGAGAATTGGTTGACCTATTTTTGTTTCAACCCCTAGTATACTTATTCTATTTTGGATGATTTTACTAGACAGAACCTGGAACATTGAAGATGTCAGTATTATTTTCGAATGCGTAGCAATAGGGTTCTCGTTTTAAAGATGGGGTTCTAGCATCGTGGAACGGTGCGGGGTTGGGGGAGCTTGTGAGAAAGCGGTTTGGGGAGTGTCGCGACCCGAAAGCAATATTGCGGGACGGTCCTCGGCTGGGCCACTGGAGCTTGCGGGATGGCCGTTTGGGAAGCGTCACGGGGAGGGTCGTAGGCGGTGGGAGGTTCGCGGGATGGTGTGGTGCGATGTCGCTGGAGCTTGGGGCGTGAGGTCGCTGGAGCTTACGGGAAAACGGGTTGGTGTATCTCGTATGGAATTATCGTAGGACAATGTGTGCAATGGTAGGTCACACGGTATTTTTTGGTGAGTGTTGCGAGGTTATAGGAGCTTGCAAAGCGATATGGGGAGGGTCGCGGCATGATGGGAGGTCGTTGGAGCTTGCGGGGAAGTGGCTTGGGCAGTATCACGGGACGGCGGGAAGTCATGGGAACTTGCAAGAAAAAGGTTTGGGGAGTATTTGGGGTGCGTTGCAGGGCATATCGCGGGATGGTGCGAGGTCGTTGGAATTTGTGGGAAAATAATTTTGGGTAGGTCGAGAAATATGTGAGGTCGCTGGAGTTTGTGGGAAAGTAGATTGGGTGGATCGTATAGAGTCTAGAGTCTCGCGGGACGGCGTCCATGGGAGGTTGCGGCAAAATGTTTTGGGGGACTATCGTAGGGAGTGTCGCGGGACGATGCTAGCTCATAGGAATTTGTAGGATGGTGGTTTCGGGCGCATCGCGGGGTTTAGTTTCCGTTATGGAACGGTACGAGATTATGGGAGCTTGCGGGGAGGCGATTTAGGGGGGGGCGGCGTAGCACGGCGGGAGGTCGTTGGAATTTGCGGGAAAAGGGTTGGGTTGCGAGATGATTATGGTATCTGGGAAAGCGGTTTGGGACGCGTCGTAAGGAGTATCGTGAGTAGTGTGAGATCTGTCGAGATTGGGAGTGTCGTGGGCGTAGTTAGGTTGGTAAACCTTGCGGCAAAGAACCTTGCGGCAAAGCGGTTTGGTGAGCGTGTCGGAGTTTGCTTTGTAAAGCGGTTCTAAATGGGTGCGGGAGTTTATTGGAAATCGATTTGGGCGTGGAGTATCGTTAGATGATGGGAATTCGTACGAAAATTGAATATTTAATTCTTCGCTTCTCTTATGGAAGTAATGAATCTCGATTCGCATATAAAATTTAATTCGTCCTTCTCTTTCTATCTTTTCTCTCTTTTTCTTCGTCTTTCTTGATTATTT